TTTTTTGTAGTTTTTGGCTGGGGCTAGGTTTGAACCCAGCATATGGAGCTGGTGTCCTACTCCTCTGAGCCACAGGTGCTGCCCTGTGCATTTATTTTCAACAAATACATACCGTGCTTACTCTGTGGCCAGACACTATTTTTTGCAAGTTCTGAGTGCTTTACAAATAACAAGTCACTCAAACCTCATAACTACTCCACTGTCAAAACTTTTTTTTTTAGTCAGGGTCTCACTCTGTTGCCCATGCTGGAGTGCAGTGGCATCATGATAGCTCACTGCAACCTCCAACTCGTGGTCTCAAGCAATCCTCCTGCCTAAGCCTCTTGAGTTGCTCGTACTAGAGGTGAGTGCCACCACACATTTTAAAATGGAGGCAACTGAAATACATAGAGGTTAAGGAAGTTGCTTAAAGTTACACAGCTGATGAGTTTAAATATCATCTGTCTCACTCACTAGGAGACAGAGTCCAGGAAAGCAGAAGCTTCCTCTTGGACTGCCTTGCTCACTACTGGCACCCCTGCACCAGACAGTGCATCACCCATAATAGGACCATAAGAAAAGGTATGTGGGAAATGAGACCAGGCCACATGGAGCCAGGAACAGGAAAGAAACTCGGAGAGAGGCAATGGAAAGAAGATGGAAGATGGCAGCACCCGTAGCTCAGTTTGTAGAGCGGATTCGAACCTGGCCAGAGCCTGCTAAACAACAATGACAACTGCAACAAAAAACAAATACCTGGGCATTATGGCAGGCGTCTGTAGTCCTAGCAGCTGGAGAGGCTGAAGCGAGAGAATCGCTTAAGCCCAAGAGTTTGAGGTTGCTGTGAGCTGTGATGCCATGACATCACAGGGGGACATACTAAAACTCTGTCTCCCAAAAAAAAGGATGGAAGGGCTGGAAAGGTCACTGAAAATGGTTTGGGAGCAGAAGTGGGACTGGCAAGAGCATTGTGGCCTGAAGACAGTGCCAAGAAAAAATGAAAGGTGTCACTGATGGATTTGATCTAGCAGATGAATGAGAAAGCCAAAAGCCTCCGAGACACCCTTGACCTCCTTCCTCCATGCTCCAGCCCAATGCATCAACAAATCCTCTCGGCACCTCCAGAACACACCCAGAATCCAATCTTGTCATCCCTCCTCTGCTCTCACCTGGCCCATACCACCATCCTTGCTCCCCTGGATTATTACAACAGCCTCCTACAAGGTCTCCCTGCTGTCACGGTTCCCTCTTCATCCACACAGCAGCCAGAAGGATACTGATAAAACAAGTCAAAGATCACAATTTTGTTCAAAACCTGCCAGGATGTTCCAGGGTAACAATGGCCGCTAGCCCTGCAGGACCTGGGCCTGCTTTCCCCTCCCATTTCTTGCTATTCTGGCTACCACGGAGCGGCTCCCATCCCAGGGCCTTTGCATTTGCTGTTCCCTTTACCTGCGAGGTTCTTCCCCAGATTTCCAGGAATCTCATCCCCTCACTTTCTTTGTCTTTTCATGTATTAGCTTCTCATTGGGGTTTGCCTGCCTTCTTACTGAAAATGCAACACTATCCCTCTCACCCGATGTTCTTTTTACCGCTTTCTTGCTTTATTTTTCTCTAGAGCACTTCATCAGACATCCTATTAATATATACTTAAAACCAGGCGGCGCCTGTGTCTCAGTGAGTAGGGTGCCGGCCCCATATACTGAGGATGGTAGGTTCAAACCCAGCCCCGGCCTAACTGCAACAAAAAAATAGCCGAGCATTGTGGCAGGCACCTGTAGTCCCAGCTACTCAGGAGGCTGAGGCAAAAGAATTGCCTAAGCCCA